TGTTAATGGCCCAATTGTTTTATTACTTTTTTCCCTTTATTTTTATTTTATGTGTATGGGTGGGTGTTTTGCCTGCTCATATGTTCTTATATCCTGTGCATGCAGTTCCCACAGAAGCCAGAAGAGGGTGTCAGATTACTGGGATTGGAGTTCTAGACTGCCATGTGGGTGCTAGGAATTGAACCCGAATCTTCAGGAAGAACAGTCAGTACTCTTAACTCCAGCTCTACAGTTCTTCTGTTTTTAACAAAACTTCATGTACAACAAGCTGAGTCCTTAGTATGACAGTGATTTTACCAAGAGCTTAAAAGTTCTGTGCTGGGATTGCATGCTGCTTTCTCATAAAGTCCTCGGACCATAGGAGGTGAGTTATTGAGCTACCTTTGGCAGGCAGGAATATAGTCAAACCATTTACACAAGACAGGGCCCAAGACAGAAGTAGGGTTCAATGTACTGTAACACAGATTGTATTTACTCAGAGCTTTAAGTGAGTCTTGGTTCTAAACAATCTTTCAGGAGAGATTACAAAGTATGATTGCTCTGGCTTGAGTGTATCTCCCAAGGTTCAAGTATTAAATTTTAATCTTTATGTGAAGTGAAAGAGAGTGGAACTTAATCTGACTGTTGGAAGATGGAGGTGGGGCCTTTGGACAGTGATTAAGATTAGATAAGGCCCTCAGGGTGGAGTCTGTGATTGAGTACTGGTTATTTTATAAGAGGAAGAGAGAATAAAGACACACACACACACACACACACACACACACACACACACACACACACTTCCCACTTCCTGTCTCTCACCATGTAAAGTCCTACACTGCTTTAGAATTCTGTCTCAAGAAAGCAGGCACCAGTTCTGGACTCAACCTGAGGCTAAAACCATGGGCTAAAATTCTTTATATATATGAAGTATCAGGTATTTCATTTTACGAATGAAGAAGGGCCTAAAATAATGATGACACTTAAGAGAACAAAACCATATGCATTTGCAATATATATATATGATATATATATATATATATATATATATATATATATATGGCTCTAAGCTATGTATAACTTTTCAGAAGGAAGATGCTTTATTTTGGTGTAAGTCTGTAATAGCAATGCACCAAGAACCTGTCACTCTTATACTTTTGTCAACTCCAATCATTTGCTCTGTTCTGATTGAATCTTGGCAGAGATCATGAATATGAGCTGCCCATTGGCATCCTAACTGTGTTTGAGAAGATTCCATAACGGTTATCTTACACAATATTCCTTCTGATCCATAAATGAGTTCACAAGCTTTATGGTCAACTGAATGGGATTACCCTATACCTAATGGAAATGGCAAATATTAAATTGCCAAGGTGCATTTTAAGCTATGTACAGATAAGGCAAAAATATTTGCTAATTTCGTTCTCCTTAGTTCTCATGGGCACTGGTGATAAGCTGAGTGGACACCTTCATTACTGACAGCTGTTGGCTTAATATATTGGGATTGAGGCAGCTGTTTGGGGTTTAAATTGCGTTTCTTCAGGCCCCATATCCTATAATAAGTGGCATCAAACTTTTGAGTCTCAGGACTCCTTTACCATTAAATTATTGTGATGACTTTAAAGAACTTTTATTTATGTAGGCTTCATTTACAGATATTTGTTAGACCAGCAATTAAAACTGAGAACAACTTATTTTTGAGGAAGAATCTGTGTTTCCCAAACTGGTCTCAAACTTCTGGTCTCAAATGGCCTCCTTCCTCAGCCTTGTCAGCAACTGGGCTATGTCCATGTTACAGTAACGTGGTGGTTTGAATAAGAGTGGCCCCCACAGGCTCATATGTTTGGATGCTTAGACACCAGGGAGTGGAACTGTTGGATAGGGTTAGAAGGATTAGGAGTAGTCTTGTTGGAGTTTCTAGGGGTGGGTTTTGAGGTTTCAAAAGCCCATACCCAATCCAGTCTTGCTCTCTTTGCCTATGGATCAGGATGTAGCTCTTAGCCACTGCTCAAACATCTGCCTGCATACTACCATGTTCTTTGTTATGATAATGAACTACACCTCTGAAACTACAAGCAAGCCCTCACTTAAATACTTTCTTTTGTAAGAGTTGCTGTGGTCATGGTGGCTCTTCACAAGCAATAGAATAGTGACTAGTAAAAGTACCAGCATCCAACAGAGAAATCACATGCAAGGGCATAGAGCAAACATTCCACTAGATACCAGTGTCATCATCACCCCCCGGTTTCTATAACATTGCAATTATACTTGTGAGAGAATGAGAGTGGGGAGGTGAATAAACAGCGTTAATACCATGGAATAATTTCAAACCCATGGCTGCCTTGAAAGAGTCTCATGGACTCCTGAGGCCCTGTGTTGACTTTGAGAACTTTGACATAAAGAAGCCAATCACATTGTTTCATTAGTATTTTTACATTTCTGTTATTAATTTAAATACTCCCTCCCCACACCAATGGGTCCCATTATGCCATCATTATACATATGCACCATTATGCTTTTCCTCCATTAATGTTTTCTCATCTTTAGAAAGGTCTCCTGCTAGGGGTGGTGTCACAGGCCTGCAATCCCAGCAAGGTGGGCAAAGGAAGGAAGATTGTGAGTTTGAAGTCTGTCTCAAAAAAATAAAATAATGTGTGTATATGTCTATTTTCCCTTCCTAGGAAATCACAGCTCTTCCATTTTTGTCTAGGAATCCCATCTCCTACATTTTGGGAGGCTTGCAAATTATTACAGTTAAATTTAATACTCCTAGTTTTCTTGTACTGTTTTTGCTTGGTTGGTTTTGTTTATGGTAGGTAAGGACTTACCTGCATTTTGACGGTTTTATTGTTTACTCTCCATCTATGGCTTCCACCCTGTTTTTCTTGCCTGCTTGTTTTGTTTGGCACTGCAGGAGATGGAATTCAGCCTTGTACATGCTAGGCAGGTGCTGTATCACTAAGCTACACCTCCAGTACCCGTCTACACCCACCTGATCACTACATGAAGGCCTTTGGAATTTCTTCCTCTTTCTTTTTTGCTTGCTTTGTCTTCTGTGTTTTAGTGTCTTCAGGGCATAACTTTTATGACTATCACCAAATACTGAAAATGTGGCTAACTTTCAATTCTCAGTCATCCTCACCAATGTTAACTCCTATGAATATGTGACTAGAACTAGGGTGGAGTTACTTGCTTGTAGGTTCCAATTTTCTAGGCACTTGACCAACATATGGGAAATACATTGCTATGAAGTCTGAGCAATCAGACAGTTCACACTCATCAGTGTATATGACCAGCATGACCCAAACTGAGTGGTTTCTTCAGATAAATGTGTTTCAGAATTCAGTAACAACAACAACAACAACAACAAAAAATTGTGTAACCCTTACTCATTAAATACAATGGCATGCTCTTATGTACAGGGATCTTGGATTATTGATTGTTCATATGATTTGATTTCATAGCTATTTTAATCATAGAGTGATTTTTTTCATTATTTCTGTTTTTTGAAACAAGGCCTCTTGCTCGTCCTCTGCCTCCACCTCTTGTGAGTGCGGATCACAGACATGTGCCATCACGCCAGGCTCATGAATGAGCTTTAGTATTTTAAATGAAAGCATCTCTTGCCAGGAGTGTTTCAAGGACTCATTTTGAAATTCAAACCTTAGAGATGTGTAAGACTTTGGCTGCTAACCTAATCAAATAATTTTCTACATGAGGTGACTGAGGGCTAAAACGTTTATGTGACTAGCAGGCTATGACTGAGAAAGTGGCAGAGGTGACTCTGGCTTGTGTCTTTTTTAACATATTAAATTGCTTTTGGACTAAAAGAAAGAAATACTTAGAAATCACCCAAATTTGAATTTCATTGTTTTACAGATGAGAAAATGTTTGTAGAATGTGGTTACACACACACACACACACACACACACACACACACACACACACACACACACAATGTCTGTCGGGGGTAAGGATTTAATAAAAACTACTTTCTCTTTTTGGCCTATTGTCCATCTAGAACCTAGAAGTCCTGACTCATGCCTGCTTGGTGTGCTTCATCCTTATTAGCCAGAGAAAGCTCAAGTGAAGCAGTACTTACTTCATTTATTGACCTTGAACTCACAGAAATGCTCCTGCCTCTGCTCTTGAATGCTAGTATTAAAGGCATGCACTACCACATCCCCCAGTATTTATAAGACAAATACCGATAAACAATGTATCTATGGGCATATGATAAGTTAAATATTATTTTAAAACTATATAAAACATGAATGTATTCACATATTTTCCTTATAATTGGGGCAGCATATCACTAACTTCCTAAAGTACTCTTTCACAAAGGAAGTATATAGTTGGCTCTTTTTGCCTATTTGCACAGACTTAGGCTGTCTCAGGGCCAAGGAAACACAGCACTAGTTTAGGGCTTAGTAGGGACAAACCTTACTAATCCATAATTTTGTTTTTCTGTTTGCAGTCCTGAGGATGAAATTCAGGGCCTTGTACCTGCTCTACCACTGAAGCCCTTACTCTGGTGACCCCATGCCTTTGATTCACAATTTTTATAGCAACAATAAAGAAATATGCTCGATATTATAGCATTAGTCTATGGATCAAACAATACACATATATAACTTGTGAAACCTTACTTGTGTAAGAGAACACATAGCATGGTGAAAAACACACTAGGGAAATCAGAGAATTTAGGTTCTGATGCTGGCTCACCACTCGCTGTCTTGCTGTGACACCTTGGACAAGTCCTTTAAAAAAAAGATTCTGCAAGATACACTTAGATGAGTGTCTCAAGAGTCATTTTGGAGAAGGGAAGAGGGGCAGAATAACCCTGTCTTTATCAGCTTTTCTTAGATTTTCAAATATTATATTACTTGAGGAATGAGTTTTGCCAAACAAAAGTCACAATTTTATCTTAATTTTTTTTTTTTACAGTGAGTTTGCAACAGGAAATGGAATAGGCAAAATTTCAGAAAATTCTTGGATGATTTTTTAAAATCTATTTTTACCTTGCATCCTTCACAAGCATGAACTCCATAGTGGAAGCCTGATGCTTTATCCCCACAAACTCGACACTCAATGGCCATGAGAGAGTTGGAAGGCTCTTCATGAGGCCTGTTGTAGAGCTGGCTCTTTTCAGAATAATAAGGTGGGGATGCAGGTTCTACTTTGATCGCACCTGTGCATTAGGAAATTTGAGAAGATGGTTATCTCATGGCAAACAATCCTAAAAAGACATAGTGGCTTCCCATGGTAGCCTTCATATTTTCATGCCATAACTTTACTATCTCTGAGGAGAGGTGTTGGAGAGCATGAAAAGACACTGGTGCTCAGATAGGAAAAAGTAAGACTTTATCATCTCAGGCAAGTCCCAACACCCCAGAACCTCACCTGCACAAATAAATTGGGAACAGAATTAAGATGGAGGGAATTAAGTCTTTCCCCCCAACCCCCACACACCACAGACGCTGCTCCAGGTTTGAAGCCATGCAGCTTATTTGGCAAAAGGATGGTGTGCATCTGGTACTCATTCTGTTATTATGAGTTTCACTGAAATGTTGCACTTTAGAAGTAGTTTTAAAGCTTCCTTGAAAAAGCAACACAGAAGGAATATGGCTGAGAAAATGTCCCAATGAGCCCAGCCTGAGGTGCCAGGCTATCAACAGAGCTGAGTCAAAAGGTGGTTTGTAAAGTGATCTGTGACAGAGAGCGGGAGAAACCTATGTGAAGCAAGTACTGCCTTTGCTGGTGGCTCAGGCCTATCGAATTTCCATATTAGGCTTTAACCCAGAACCACACAGATAAATACAACCACATATACTATCTATCTAAAGAAAATAACTAGAAATTACAGGAAGTTCTTACTTATCATCAGGTAATGATTGCCAGTGACACAGGGGTGACTCTGGAAAACCAGCACATCAGCCCACAAGATAAAAATCAAGGAAACAGCATCACAGAAATGATACTTTATCTTGAAAAGTTCAGTTCTGTTTTTTTTTTTTTAAAGTCTGATGTTTGATGGTAATTTACTTAATGGCATGATGATCTATTAATCAGTTACAGTGTTAAAAAATGTAAATTTGTGCCCCAAACTGGGTTTGGGGTAAATGTCACAAAGTACAGATTAGAAAAAATATATAACTATAATAGTAACTTAGTGGTGGTAAGAGTTGGTCTACAACTGTGACTTATTAACTAATAAGAAGCTGGAAGAATTCAAAGTTTACAGCATGGACTCTCAGCCTAAGACACAACTGGCAATGTGATCATGTTAGACATGCTCCCAAGAAGGCATCAAGAAAGGAAAGAAAGGAGGGAGGGGAAGGAAAGGAGAAAAAAAGTTGGGAAAAGACATTCATGTGCTGTCTTCATGTATGTCTTAGTCATCTGAAAAGTTAACATACTTTGGTATTCTTGGAGCTTCAGGTCATATTTGTAATCAGCAACCATTGGGTCAGCTCTTGTGAATGGAATGTCTTCATAGTGTGGAGCAGAAATGCTGGAGAAATCAACTGTGGTAAAGGGCTTGATGTCAAAGGAATGGGAGTGGTCATCCATCACAGAGAGGTCCACAGAGCTGATTCCGAAGTTGGTAGGCCAGAATGGCATCTCTGTGTCAACCATGGTAATTTCTGAAATGGGAAAAAGAACAGGCCATGAGTCTAGTTCTGTAGGAGAAAGCAGTCCTCTAGGACATATAGAGAGGGAACTGAGTTCACTCATACTACCCAAGGAGGGAGGAGTGCATTACACCTTCCCAGCACCATCCAGATGGTTTTACAGTGAGAAGGAAGTCAGCTTTTACTTGAGTATACTAGCAGATATCCACAGTGTATAGCTACATGAAACCCATCTAAATGTGAGCTCTGCTCACATTGTTCTCTACAGAAGGTCATCAGCTGGATCTAGTAATGGTTATTTTTCTTACTTCAAACTGCTTCCACTTTTATTAGGATATAACTGATAAACTATTTAAATGATCACCATAGAGATGTTTTGATATACGTATGCACTGTGAAATAATTACCATCATCAATTTAATTAACACACCCATCACTTCATAGAATTATCATTGTCTCTGTGTTGAGAAAACTTAAGAATGCTTCTTAGCAAATTTCAACTATATGATACAGTATTCCTAACTGTAATCATCTTGTTGTCCATCAGATATCCAGAGCTTAATGGAAACTCTGACCAGTCTTCCCATTTCCCTTATGCCCAGTCCTCAGTAACCAGGAAGAGTATATGGCATTTGCTTTCCTGCTTCTGGCCTATTTCCCTTAGCATAATGTTCTTTTGGGTCATCTATATTGCCACAAAGGACAGACTTTTCTCTTTTTAAAAGGCCATACAGTACTCCAGTATATGTATATGTGTGTGCACGCATATACATGTGTGTATATTTGGCATATGTGTGTCTATACATACCACAGAGGTTTTGTTGCTGTTTATTTTTACTTGTTTATATGTCTTAGATTCTTACATCAATTTCATCTTTTAGCTATAGTGAATAGTGTCATAATGTATGTGGGAGCATAGAAATCTTGATAGTGTTTTTCCCTGGCCATATGTCTAGCAGTTGGACTGCTAATCACCTGGAGTTTCTACTTTTGATTTTCTAAGATCTCCACATGTGTTCTATAATGGCTTCACAGTATACAGTATACATCACCAAAAAGGTTTCTATTGTTCCACATCATTTCTTCTCTTTGTGTACCAGCCATTCTAACAGGTGTGGAACAGTATATTTTATTGTAGCTTTGATTTGTATTTTCCCCAGGGATTAGTGATGTTGAACACTTTTTCATATACCTGTTGACAATTTGTTTGCTTTCTTTTTAGAAATCGTTATGAATAGCCTTTGTGCATTGTCTTAGACTGATATCGTTGGTGTTTTGTTACTAATTTGCAGTTTTCTTGTGTGTATATTTGAGTGTGAGTGTGAGTGTGTGTATATGTGCACGTGTGTGTATGCACACACATGACCAATCACATGTATGCCTGTGCACGTGGAGGTGTCATCCTCAAGAACACCTTCCACAACCTTTGAAATTGGGTCTCTTGTGGCCTGAAGTTTAGTTAGGCTAGAATGGCTAGTGTTAAGTACTGGAGATCTTTTTTTCCCCACCTTTCAAGTGCCAGGAATACAAGTGTGTACTTGTATGTATGGTATTTTTATGTGGGTTCTGGGTATTGAACTCATGCTTACAAGCATTTTACTGGCTGAGCCATCCTTCTCCTAGCCCTGTGTATTTGAGATTCTTCTCTTTCTCTTTTTTTTTCTTTTCTACCTTTGCCTCCTAGATGCTGGGATCAAAAGTGTGTGTTACCATGCCTGGGTCTTTTAAAAAATACATTTTTATTTTATGTGCATGGATATTTGCCTACATATATGTATGTGTACCATGTACATGCTTAGTGCCTGCAGAGGCTAGAAGATTGTGTCAGTTCACCCCGAACTGGAGTTACTGGAAATTATTAACTGCCATTTAGGTGCTGGGAACTGAAGCAGGGACCTCTGGAAGAGCAGCAAATGTGCATTTTTCCTATGTATGATTTTCTATCAGAGTAAGTAAAACAAAGCTCTGAGCTATTTGGGTCCCAAGTACTAAATATGAAATATATAGACTATAAGTCTACATAATTGTAAGTATGACTTTGTTTACTTGAAATGAGATCAGCATTCAAAGCAGTGCCTAGAAAAGTAAGCACTACTTCAGAGTTGTGTAAATTCAAGATTGTTAACCCCGGTGACAAAGAAATGGGCTCATACGTTTTTATCTTGGCTGTAGTCATTTTAGCACCATTTGACAAAGGTTTTAATCACTAAGGAGATGCTCATTAAATATTTATCTATTAAACATTAAATGACTTGATGCCTGGAAGAAATAACTATGAACTTTTGGCAGAGGGAACAGGGGAGGAGAGAAACAAACAGAGCCACTGAGTACCTCCCATATACCAGACACTTCTACCTTTCCTTCCATGAGTGCTGAAATACCTTCACTTTATAGACCAATGAGAAAGGACTTGCCTTGTCAGGTTACATGACTTGCCTAAGGTCCATGGGCTAGGTAGGTGTGGGCAATTCAAACTGAAGGCTGGCTCAGAAACTTTATCCTTTCAAATATTCTCTCACTGATAAAAATGTTCTGGAATCAGGGAATGGTTCTCTTGCTTTTTCTCAGCATGCAGAAAACTAAGGTTCCCCCCCCCCCCCCACCACACACAAAGGCTGTATGAGATGAAGAGGTTCAGCTATGGTCTTCATGAAAAACAAAGTGCCTTGTAGATACAAATAAGGAGACTGGCTCTGTGGATGTGCTTTGTGGCTGCAAGAGGCCTCATTAGGCAACATTTGGGTTTCCATGCCAAATATCTGCATAATAAGTACCCAAACAACCTTCAGTTATCTGTGTTACAGTATAAACACTGCACACCAAAAAAGAGGAATGTGCATCAGTGATAACTTAGAGGACGTCCTGGTCTCAATGACATCTAGAAAGAAGTCTTTGCTCCTAATTAGCAGGAGCACCCATCAAAGTATGTCATTTGCTTCAAAATTCATCTACATGGCCCTAGCCCAAGTCACTTCATTCACTTTGCCACCCTTTGTAGCATGATTAATTTTCATCTCTGTATTAGTATTTTCATTTCAAAAGATGTCTTTTCTTGTTCAGATAATAATATCCTTAAAGTTGGATGTTTCCTATGACATCTATTGTGACTGATGGAGTGAGTTAAAGGTAGTGGGTATGCCTCTGTACAGAAGTGAAAACAAGGATGCAAAGATACCTAAGTTGCAGGAAAAAACTGGTCATTCATCATTTTTATTGTTTGAATTCTTTTTCTATTTGGGAATGGGTCCCAGGGCTTTGCACATGCTAGGCAACTGCTCTATCATTTTCCTAGTCCTCCATCTGAGCACTGGCTTTACAAGTGTGCACAATCAGGTCTGGCTATAAATTTTCAAAAATACATTTTAGTTTTATTTAAAATTAAGTGAAGGGAAAACTTTTATATAGCATCTTACCTGAGACATAGGGTGTCCCCTTGTTACTGTCCTGTGCTAGTGTGGCACACCTGTGACTACTGATAAGCCAGTATGGTTATGCTTTTATGAACTTCTCTTTGTCTTTCAAAGCTAAATACTACTTTCTCTATGAAACCTTCCATGAATCCTCATCTTCTTTAATGATGACATAATTTCTGATCTGCTTTAGTATCTATACTATAGATATAACATTTATATAATATTACTACTATAGATATAAATATATAGATATAAATGCCATGGACTCTATAGCATTTGCATGCTGTCTGGAATGAAGAGACACTTTATCATCCTGTTTTTCATTAGTCCTTCTGCATGGTTATTGTGTTCTAAACACTTGCCAATTAAGTGATAATGTTATATGGGGAAGAATAGAATGACTTCTTATTTTGCTGAGAAGGAAGAAAAAAATAGATACTTTCTCAATGGTTTAGTTTTGTCAAGATGTAAGCTCCCCTGAAAAGATTAAATTTTGGTATTAAAACTAAGACACAGCAAGAGCTCAAACTCTGCTCTAAACCCATGTTTTAGTCTTTTCCCTTTGGCAACTATCAGGAAGATTAAAACTTGGTACCCTTCTTCTTTTATCATACTGGACACTCAACCCAGACTTGCCTCATTACTGAGCTATACCTTAGTGAAGGTTTCCTTATTTTCCTAAGAAGGGAGGATGAAGAAGAAAGAAAAGCATTTGTCTCTTCATCTCCAAGAAGACATATTGCTGAAATAGATGCTTTCCCTCTCTCCCTTTTCTGTATTCTGGGACACTTTGACCTCAACAGTATTACTCCATGGACATGGTTACTGGAAGGCACAGGATCCAAACATGCTTTATTTTACTTTGACTTAGAGATGGTTCAGGAAAGCTGCTTCTTATTTTGTCTCTAGAAAACATAAGCTTCTGTTGCTGCCAAGCCGTAAGTCTAGTAGGTGTTTTTTGTTACGCCGTGCAATTACCCATGAAAGAGCAAATGGACAAAATATTTGCATGAACAACAGTCCATCTTAGGAATAATTCAGTGTTTTAACTTTCCAGCTGGGTGACATGAGTCCTGTTGCCTCAGGGCATAGCCTTCAATTTCACAACCTTTCAAAAAAGTCTTTAGACACACTCTGTGTGCAGTGACACAGCTCTATGCTATTTCTTTTTGACCTTCAAGCTTGGCTTTCAATTCTGTTATGGTTAATGAGAAGCCTTCTCATACTACTCCAAAGTATAATGCATTTCAAACAAAAGCATAATTGATTTCATGCAAGAGTAAAGTGACTTCTCTAATCGATTAGGCTCTATTTGGGAGTATGGAAGTGGGTGAGAAAGATACCAGATTAAGAAATCAAGAACCAGGACTATATGGTTTGCTTTTGGGATAGTCTGTTGTTCTCTAGGGAAAGAAAAACTACTAGAAATCTGGGGAGTGCTAGGGTGTGATTTAGTAGTAGAGAGTTTGCTTGGCAAGAGTGAAGTTACAGGTTCAATCCCCAATACAGGGGAAAAAAAAGGTAAAAAGGTAAATGACAACATCAAATCTATATGTTGATTGTTTTAAAAGTCAGGATATAAAGTTCTATGAGGTTGGG